ATGGCAGGAAAGCAAAGGTGGATGAAATTGTATTTCTCCAGTCTATGAAAGCTCATACTACCAACATCTACCTTTTAGTTAGTCTCAAAGGGGCTGCAAGATCCCTTTGCAGACTGATTTTCCAGACTAACACGGCTATTATATCTTTGAACTGTGTTTCTCCAGAGTAGGAGAAGCTCTCCAAGGAACGAGGAGAGGAAAATGAGTAGATGGGAGAACCATCATGCAAGACATTTTATTAGGCTAGTTGCAACTAAATAAAAATCTGGATCCCAAAGAGGTTGCATTCTGCCACAATATTTATGGAAACGCAGACATGTACCAGACAAACGGAGTCACGGAACTGACAGCTTGATGCTCTGAATATTTCTTTTCTTTTCTTTTTTCCGTTCCTGGATTCCAAGTGTTTGTGTACTGTTATAACAAGACATCTATTGTCTGGAAGCAAACAGATCTCAATGTATGTTTTTGCTTTTTCCACTCTTTCTTCTTCCTCCTCTTCTTCTTTTTTAAAGGGTTTTAAATTTAAGCTGAACTTCTGATAAGCATTCATCGGACTGAGAGATCACAGTTTTGCACACTTGGTATTCCAAATTTTGCAGTGTGGCTCATGGTGTGATTTCCAGCAACTAGCCTGAAATTTGCTGAAAAAGAGTCCAGCAAGTTTCCAGTCCTCATAACGAAAAGAATATAAAATTTGGAATGTGAAGTAGAGGAGATGCCCACCCAAATTATGATTTTATTACATTTAACCAACTCCCACACATCTTAAGGATGTCACCAGATTTTCTTGAAGCCAAGTATTCTAAAGAAAGTGAAACTTGGAAGTCTCTTCTCAGGCGAAACAATAAGGAAACTTTTGAGAAAAAGCAAAGACATTTTTAGACTAGGCTTGGGTGATCTCTTTTCTGAAAAGAACTTAGCCCACCAGAGATTAAGAAAAGACTACATATTCTCCAACTATACCGATTTGGTACGAACAGTCATGATGAATCCTCTGCTGTCCCATGTTTTCAGTTGCATTTAAAATGTCCCAGTTTCTGTCTCCTCCTCCCAATTTCGCCTTTCATCTTTAGCTTTCCCCAGTTGCTGTGAACTGATTTCAAAGTGCAAACTCCGGTCCAATCCACACTGAAGAAATAATCCAAGTTGACACAACTTTAACCGCCCTGGCTCTTTGCTAGGGAATCCCGGGAACTGTAGTTTCATGAAACATCTAGCCTTCTCTACCAGAAAGCTCTGGTGCTACAATAAACTACAATTCCCAGGATTCCTGAGCATTAAGCCAGGGCAATTAAAGCATTGTCAAACTGGATTATTTCTGCAGTGTGGATTGGACCTTGGTTAACTCAGCAGGAGGGAGAGGAGAGGGAGGGACAGGATTTGACCCTTTCCAGGAGGCTGAAGCAAAAGCAAAGTGCTGCAGCATCACCTAACTGGTCTGTTCTTCCTCATGAATGACTTTTGCCATCTTGGACCATGCTCTGAAGTTGGTTGGTCCTGCTTTTCATCTGTGAAATTTTGGAGGGTATAAGACTCATCTTTTTTTATTTTATTTTTTTTTTTTTTAGATTTTTTTTGGGGGGGGGGTCCAAATCTGTATTTATTTTTTTCCCCGGGAAGCCAGAAAAAAAAAGAAGATGAGAGAAATGACACTGGGCAAAAGATGCCAAGCAAAGCCAGATGCAAAATTAAACAGATGCGTCCCTGCCCAGAGTGAACTGAAGCAGCCATAGTCGCAGCTGATCCACCAACGCTTTTGTCTTGGCATCATCAAGGCCCTTTTGCCATTGGTTTTGCATGCGCTAATGAAATGTAAAAGAGTGCTGAGGCTGGGGGAAAGTAGACAATTTGTCGAAGAGTCACAAGGAAAAGGTACAGGCACCCATTCATCACACACACACAATTTGGGTGGATTCGTCTCTATTTCTCTTGTTGCTGCTGCTGTTATATACTCTAAAGAAGCAGCATTAGCAATAGTTTCTTCTTGCTGCTGACTTACATAAGGTGTTGACTTACATATGTTGTGACTTACTTAACCTATGGTACATCTGTTGTTGTTGCTGCTGTGTCCCTTCAAGTCATTTCCAACTTAGGGCAACCCTAAGGCGAACCTTTGATGGGGTTTTCTTGGCAAGATTGGTTCAGCCTTCCCTTGAGGCTGAGAGTCGTAGTCCAATGCTCAAAGCACTACGCTTGGCTTTGTGCACAGCCCTTTCCAATTGCCTGGAGCTAAACTCAGAAAAACTGGAGCCTTTGCACCTTTGTTTCCTTCCTGGAGATAAATCACAAAAAATGGACACTTTGGGACAACCCTCACCATTTTCTCGTACATCATTCCCCTTTTCTTACCATTATTTTTTTCATGCCCTGTATGGAACTTCTCTCAACTTCCCAATGTCTTCCTTTTCTTCCTCCTTTTCCTATTTCCCTTTTCCCTTCTGCTTTTTGCTCTCCACTTTATCCATTCCATTTTACTTTTCGGTGTTCTCTCTCCCCCTTTTCTTCTGTATTGTCTTTTTTTTTTCTTTCCCCTTTTCCATATCTCCTTTTTTTCTATTTCTTTCCCACTTTCTAGCAAAGCAAAGCATGGGCAGCAACAAGAAAATGTCCCTGGTTACACAATCCAAACAAGGCTGCATAATCTCTCTTTTCCTGACGTTTTGTGGAAACAGAATCCGAGCGGCGTTTTGTTGCAATGACTCAAATTGGTGCTAAACCCAAAGATGACAGAAGGGGATTTAATACATGAAAAAGGAGCAAGGCCAGATGATCCATGCATATCTTCAATTGTCTTGATTTGTCAGGACAGGATCTGTTTCCATCCAGGCAACAGATGGCAAAACTGAGGCTGTCGCACTTTGGATGCATCATGAGAAAACGCAACTCACTGGAAAAAGAGCATGGACTGCCAAAAAGGCAAATAAATGAGTTTGAAGCCTGCTTTTTTTCCCTTAAAAGCCCAAATGACTCTCAACTGAGGCTATCACACATTGGGCATATCGTGAGATGACATGACCCATTGGAAAAGACAATAACGCTGGAGAAAGCAGGAGATAGTAGGAAAAGAGGAAGACCAGGGGTGCATCTACACTGTAGAAATAATGCAGTTTGATACCACTTTAAGTGCCATGGCTCCATTCTACAGAATCCTGGGATTTGCCATTTTGTGCGACACTGCTGCTCTTTGGCTAAGAGAAGGCTAAAGACATTGTAAAGCTACGAATCCCAAGATTTCATAGGATGGAACTATGGCATTTAAAGCGAGGTCCAACTCCCTTATAGAGGTACACCAGGTTACCAATGGCTTGAGTCAATCAGGGAAGCCCCAACCCTGAGTTTGCAAGACCTGAGCAATCGCAGAGACCTTTTGGAGTTCTGTGATTTATAGGATGCATAAGTCAAAGCCGATTTGACAGCACACAGTGGCGACAACAATAACAGAAGTGTCTTGAATGCCTACTCCATGGCTGTCTATGGATGCACCTACAGTGTAGAAATAATTGACATCACTTTAAGTGTCGTAACTCCATCCTATTGAAACGTGGGATTGGTAGTTTTACAAGGTCTTTCGCCTTCGCTGCCAAGGAGCGCTGGTGCCCCACCAAACTACTAATCCCTAGATTCTGTAGGATGGAGCCGCAGCTGTTAAAGTGGTGTCAAACTGCATTTCTGCAGTGTAGATGCACTCTATATTTTTCTGTGCACCCTTTTGATGGCAAAAACTCTACAAAAACTCACATCCCTGGAACTAACAGACTCTGCTTTCCAGATATATGGTCTTTTGTTGTAAGCTTGCCTTTACATAATGTTTCACAGCGTCTAATATTTACCGCTGGAGGCAACAACTGAACCACTCAAAACAATTTACAGAACATGTTCCTGGCACAGATTTTGGTCTCCGCAGCCACGCCAATAAAGTACACACATGGCGGGTCGATAGACGGGGATGAACTGAATCCGTGTTGGGTTCACAGTCAGAGTGCGAAAAGGCCAAAGGGAAACATTGGACACTCAAAGCCTATACAGATTTGCAGATCTTGGAACAGTTCTGTTCTTGGGATGACAACTCCCAGAATCCTCCAGCTAGCACTCCTACAACTGTGTTGTTGCTGTGTGCCTTCAGGTTGTTTCCAACTTAATGGCAACCCTAAGACAAGCCTATCGCAGGCTTTTCTTAGCAAGATTTCTTCAGAGGAGGTTTGCCACTGCCTTCCCCTGAGGCTGAGAGAGTGTGACCTGGCCAGGGTCCTCCAGTGGGTTTCATAACTGAGCGAGGATTCGAACCCTGCTCTCCAGAGTCATAGTCCAACCCTCAAACCACTACGCCACACTGGCTCCAATTGTATAAATATGCTTTATACCTGAAGCTTTAATATTTCTCTGTACTGCATCTGAAGTGGGTTTATATTATTATTATTATTATTATTATTATTTGGAGTATTTATACCCTGCTCTTCAGCCAAAAGGCTATCTCCATGAAAGCTCACACTAAAATAAAAACCAGTTAGCCTTAAAGGTGCTGCTGCATTCCTTTCTTTCCTCTCCTTCCCTTCTTCCTTTAAATGCTAGGTCAACCCCAAAAAGTCCCAAGTGCAGAAACCTGCCTCCAGACCCATGTTTGTCTTCGAGGAACAGTCTGACCCATGCAACATGGCATCCTCGCCTCCAACCATCAGAGACCCACATCGCCACATCTGCTCCAGCTGTGCTTCCAGAGGTGGCATGAAATCTATGCTCAGGACATGCAATATGCTCTTTGTCGCCCCCTGTGGGTTTTGTGCAGCAACTCCCACACAGAAGCCATGTATTGGGCTGGATCCAGATCCAGTCCTACTTAAGAGTTTGTTGTTGCATGCCAGGGGTAGGCAACCTTTTTGTGCCGGGGGCCGGGTTGCTGTCCCTCAGACAATTGGGGGACCGAAGCTTATTTATTTACTTACTTAAATAAATAAGTAAGTAAATAAATAAAAATATATATTTTAAAAAAATAAATATATATGCATGCACACTCTCTCAGCCCCAGAAA